TAATGATGAGCCTAAATAAAATGAACTCAATAAGTAAACATGCCTAAGTTATTAGTGCAAATCTTAAAGTACTGCCTAAAATGTGTTAAAAACCGTTTAAATGCATGAATTTCTAAATGAATGCAATCCATAAAATTACTTGTAATGCAATAGTTAATCAAAATAAGGAGAAATTGATAGAAAAATGGGTTGCCTCCCATTAAGTGCTAGATTTATAGTTTCAAACTCGACTTTTGCACAAGTGTATCACGACACTTTGAATATGGTTTTGGAGGTCCTGCTTAGCTTGCTTAATTTGACTTTGTTCCATATTGCAACTTTCTTCCAAATTTTAATAATTTCATTCTCCAAGTAGTATGACTTCCCCTCATCATCCGTTTCAAACTCAACAATACACACTTCAATCTCCTCATAAGGTTTAATCACAAACTCATTTTTTGAACAAATGATGAAGTCAAGGATTTCATTTTCTTTGAATGCTACAAGTTCTTTTTCGCCCGTTATGATTAATTTGTCGATCTTTTCAGCTCCTCTTTTTTAATTGACATTTTCTTGAGTTCAACATTCATGTTCAAAACTTTTGACAAAGAAATAATGACATCTTCATGGAGAGGTTTCTCCTCTTGTTGTATTTGTAAGAAATCCAGTCGACGTGATTTCCTTAATGGATGTCTATTAATAACCAGTGGAAGAAATAATTCTATGGGCAAATCACTCACATCAAATTGTGGTGAAAGAAATAATGTAACGGATAAGTCATCCAGGACAGTTTCATCAAGTTCACATTCTACTTTTATATCACGTGGTCGTTGTCCTATAATGAAATCTCCTACAAGCATATCTCCCCCATCAATTTCTTGAGCTACCAACTGTTGTTGCCTTATAATAAAATCACATACAAGCATTTTGTTGAAATCAACCATAGTCATCTTTTTATCCTACTATTTTTTCTTTTATATATCCTGAAAATGTGAGAGAGAAAAACTAAAATGGAACAAAAATAATAATACAAGAATATAGGTAGAAGTCCGAATTAGTGCCGAGGTAAATAAAAAAATCAAATTGAAACTCAATTCCCGGCAACGGCGTTAAAAACTTGTTCACGAAAATATATTTCGAATTAAAAACTACCACAATTGTACAGTTCGTTAACAAGTAATAAAGTGGACTTTTTGAGTCCGAGTATTGTCCCACGAAGATTGATTAGTTCAATTTTAATTATCACGACCTTAACCGAAACTAGAATAATATTATGTATTTGTGATTAAATTATATCTAAATTAATTTACTTATGCAATTATGAGCGGTATATCGGACTCTATGACAATTTATATATATCGAACATATTTCATTTCTTTCGAATGCATAAAATAAGTCACCACATTCACATAACTACCGTGCACAATAATCATGGAGAAAATAAAATCATTCAATATTCAAAAACTTAATTTTAATGTCAAATATATAAAAACTAAAAATTAAAAACTCATATTACATGGTTCATCGTTCTCCTAACACAAAAAAAATATAGCCTAATATGTTGTGAAGAATAAAGCAAATGATATAAATGTTGTTCATCACAAGGAAATTCTTGAATTCAATCTTGAACTTCTTCGATTTGATCTAGATGTGTTCTTTGTCTCCTTTTGCAATTAATTCTCCACACACTAATTATTTTTTGAGAGTTGGTAATTATATATCTCTAAAGAGTTCTAAAATATCTCCAAAAATCGTGTATATCATGGCTCAAACGGAAGTTTCCTTGTTGAAATTGAATTTTGAAGGAAACAAAATTTTTTTTCCCAACTTAGCCTGGGCGGGCGCCCAGTAGAAAATGGGACAACCGTCCAGGTATAAAAATTGGCTCATGTTATTGAAGTCTAGGGTCGGGCAATCGCCCGACCAATATAACTGAGCGGTTGTCAAGTTATAAAAATTTCGCGAATACACGACCAATATAACTGAGCGCTTGCCCAGTTATAATAATTTCACAAATTTTCCTTTCTGCCATTTTCTTTATTCTTTCTTCCATTTTGGTCCTTCACATCAAATTACTTCAATCTTAGTGCTTCAATTTTTACTCACATGCATATTAATCCCCAAACATCCATCCATTTCCTTCTTTCTTTTCCAATTGCTTATAGACGAGTCCAAAACTGAAATAAGATAAAATTAACCTAAGTTAAGTAAAATCAAATACTAAAACGACACAAAAACTTAGTAATATAGTCTTAATAAGTGCACAAAAATGCATTTATCAGGACGGGTAAATGAGAACCGTATTTTTTTATTGTGCTTCAATTTTTGTAGTTTACTGTCGACATGGATACCTATAATTCTGTTTTAATAATGTCTGAATATAGGGTAGGGATGAGTTTTTAAATTTAACCGCCGAACATGTGTTGAAATTGTTCCCACCTGTGATGTATATATTCCAATAGGTTGAATATTTTGTTTATGCATTCTAATTTGTGGAATGACCCACAACTGTCTATCGATTTTATTTCTATAATAATAGTACATTTGTGTTGTAGTTGAAAAGGAAAATTGCATTGTATTGATGAAAATTCACTATTGTTTGATGATTATAAAACTTTAAAGAATGCAATATTGAACAACAATTATTGTCTTGTAATTCAAATTTAGAGTTGAACAGCAGTTTCTATACAACTAAATGAAGATGCATCTTGTCTGTTCATATAAAACTCATTACAAACATAAGGATAGTACAGCAATTGATGAATTATGATTACTATGGTCTGATACTCATTATTGAATTAAATTAATTTACTATTATTGTGACATGCAGAGGATGACCCGGACTTCAATTCCTATGGGTGAGAGTGACAACAGTGCACAACTCCTTTAGAAAGAGTTGGAGACTGAGCAAATTGTTCTTCAAGATATAGATGATGAATTGACACGAACAAATGCTTCGAGTTTTAGAGCATCAAGGAAAAACCTGAGGAATCTAAGACAGACATCTTGAAGGCACCCTGAGTTGCTTTTTATATGAAATGTGATGGAGGTTGTTTTCGGTTTATGGATGGTGTGTCAATACGCAGCCTCTATTTTACCTTTTTGGTGGTTTAACTCGTACAACTATGAATGTCTAAGGACCTGTTTGATAGCACGAAATTTTGTAGGGAAGTTGGAATTCATTTTCCATAAAAACGAAGTCAAACGAACACCAAACTTTCAACATTTTTCAAGTGGAAAATTATACAAATCAAGCACAATTAATTACAATTCTCAATAAAACAAATTCTATGCAATTCAATTTCTGTAATTCATTTTTTTTCACCCAAATTCCACATTTGCAATCAAATGGACCATAAATGTGATGGAATTATGGATGGTATTTTTTGGAATTTGTTGGGAAATATTGAATGTCAATATATATGAATTGTTTGGGAATTATTCAATTCTTTGGACATATTACTTCGGGTAGATTAATATTGAATGTCTCAATGTTCCGGACAGATTTTAGCATCCCCGTTGTTATACAATGCATATTGAGGTCAACCGTGCGAGGATTGAGATGTTTATTTTTTCGTATCGATTTCTATTTACTTTTCTTTCAAGCAACTACCAAGTTAATAACAATTAAGCCTTAAAATCATTCAACAGACTGGTGACCTTTCTATGGACAATGCCATGATGCACGGTGAAGAGAAAGTAATTAGTGAATATATATAGTCGATTGGTGCTACTCAACATGGTGGGTACCAATTCACATTTCAACAACTCAATTAATTACATTAAAGCCATCGACAATTAAAATGTCCACATTAATAACACAGGACACCAAAAAATTGATAACTTATTCTTCTCATCAAGTACGTAGGTAGAACACATTCACAAGTCTCTTTCATTTTGTTTCCCATTCTCTTCCATATCTCATTTTCCCTTGCAAATGATTATATGGAGGAATATCTCTACATCCTTTTGTTACAGCTCAACAATCAGCTGAACTGGAGCTGGAAACGAAGCTGAAGTTGCTGGTAGTTAAAATCAGTTAGAGATGCTGAGCTGGAAAAAAATTGTTAAAAGAGTTAGTTAATCAGTTGGCCAGTCAGTTAGTTAGTTAACATTATAGATGGCAAACTGATGTTTATAAATAAGAGTTTGTGTACAAACGAATGTATTGAGTTGATTAAAAACTTCAATCAAAGAAAAAGAGAGTCCAATTCTCTCTATTTTGTTTTACTTTCCTCATCATTTCTTTACATTGTTGTGTTTCTTTTGTTATGGTATCAGAGAAATTAAACTTAGTATCTTCCGCTGTGTTGTAAAATCAAAGTTCCAGTATTAATCATGGCCACAGATGATTCCTCTAATCCTTTGTTCTTGGCAAATAATGACAGTCCTGACACTGTCTGGGTTTCTCATGTGCTTGATGGGTCCAATTATTTTCCTTGGAAAAGATCTATGTCGATGGCCATCTCAGCCAAGAATAAGCTTGGTTTTATTAACGGTAATCTCCTAAAGCCACTGATGATTGATATTTCTTATCAAGCATGGATTTGTTGTAATGATATGGTTTGTTCCTGGATCTTAAATTCCTTGAACAAAGAGATCGCTGCAAGCATCTTCTATATTGCCAATGCGTCTAATTTATGGAAAGAACTGGAAGAGAGGTTCAGTCAGGGAAATGCTCCACGCATTTTTCAATTAAAGAAGGCAATTTGTGCTCTCAATCAAAGTTCATCATCAGTATCTGATTACTTCACCAAATTCAAGACCTTATGGGACGAATATTTCAATTATCGCCCTCTCCCTAATGATTCTAGTCCCAGTGTTAAGACTCTACTGGACTATCATCATCAAGATTATGTTTTACACTTTCTTATGGGACTGAACGAGAACTTTTCTGCAATAAGAGGTCAAATATTGTTGTCTGATCCTTTGCCCCTATTAACAAAGTTTTCTCTTTAATTTTGCAGGAGGAAACTCAAAGAAAAGTTGGTCATTATTCTCCCCACTTTGACTCTGCTGCTATGGTTAGCAAGACAGCACCTGGTTCATTCAAGCAGCAATCTTGTCCCAGAAAGGGAAAGTTGTATTGTACTGAATGTGGATATACTTCTCACACAACTGACAAGTGCTTCAGACTTATTGGTTTTCCTCCTGTTTTTAAATCTGGCAGAAATAAGGGAATTAATTCTTCAAGCCAAGTTCATTCAGTAGCATCTTCTGGTGAGCAAAGCCTTTCTTCAATGCCTTTTACTCCAGAACAATATAACCAAATACTCAACTTGATTAAACCTATCAATGCTCCACCTATTGACGCTCCTCTGATCAATAAGTTTGATAACCTCACCCGGACATTTCAGCCTCAATGCAACATGACAGGTAAACACTATTGCCTATCTTTTTCCTCTAATAACTCTTCCATTTCAAGTACTCCTTGGATCATTGATACAGGAGTAACTGACTATATGGTATGTTCAGCTTCTTTCCTAGACGTTATAACAGCCAAAGTGAACTCTTCTGTGCAATTACCTACTGGTACTTTTGCACAGGTTATTCACATAGGCAATGTATCCATTTCTGATAAACTTTGCTTGACAAATGTCATGTGTGTCCCATCTTTTTCTTTTAACTTGCTATCTGCCAGTCAACTCACTCGCAAATCTAATTATTGCTTGATTTTTCTATCTCCTCAATGCTTTATTCAGGATCCTATCTCATGGACGACGATTGGTGTGGGTGAAGAAAAAGGAGGGTTGTATCATCTGTCAATATTTGTAGCAAAACCTCATATTCCAGCAAAACCTCCTATATGTGCTACCTCCTATTCAAATTCAAGTTCCTTTGACCTGTGGCACTTTCATTTAGAATATCTGTCTTCTAGTTGCCTACAACATCTTGCTAGTAGTAATTCTGATGTAATATCAAGTCGAAAAGAATTTCTTTGTAACATTTGTCCAATGGCAAAACAAAAAATACACCATTTTCCTGTTAGCAATACAATTTCTACACATTTATTTCAGCTTATACATTGTGATGTATGGGGCCCTTTTGCTCATTCTTCTTTAAATGGTGTAAAGTATTTCATCACTTTAGTAGATGATTTCTCCAAATCAACGTGGATATATCTCTTATAGCATAAATCTGAAGCAAGATCATATATCCAGTGCTTCTATAATTTAGTTGAAACACAATTCCAGATCAGAATAAAACAGCTTCACACTGATAATGCCCCTGACCTTGATATGAGAATTTTTTGTGCTGAAAAAGGAGTTATTCAACAAAAAAGTTGTGTTGCTACACCGCAACAAAATAGTGTAGTTGAACGTAAACATCAACATATACTAAATGTCTCACGAGCACTCATTTTTCAAGCCAATTTACCTCTCAAATTCTGGGTTGAAGCTGTCTTAACCGCAGCATACCTCATTAATCGTACACCAACTCCTCTCCTGCAAAACAAGTCTCCATTTGAGATCTTATACAATAAACCTCCTACCTATGTTTGGATGCCTATGTTTTGCCTCTACCTTATCCCACAATCGTTCTAAATTTGCTTCTCGAGCTCGTAGGTGCATATTTCTTGGATATCCTTACAGTTTTAAAGGATATAAACTCTATGATCTTGATCTCCACACCTCTTTCATATCTCGAGATGTAGTTTTTCACGAAAACATCTTTCCTTACAAGAGTTGAGATTCAACTTCCTTTGATAATTCCTTTGTTTTTCCCAAATCTCTTCCTTCTCAAGACTTGGATATCTCCAATACAAAAATACAGTCTTCTACCAATATACCTCGCAGATCTTCCAGAATTAGGAATATTCCTAGCTACCTTGACCAGTATCATTGCAACCTCCTTACCTCTTCATCAGATCAATCTCGCTCCATGTGTTCAGGGAGATCGAATAAGGTTAGTACTCCTCATGATTTAACTTCTTCTTTACAGTACAACAAATTATCACCCTCTTTTACAAGCTTTTGTCTCTCGGTTTCCACTACTTTTGAACCCTCACATTATTATCAAGCTATAAAATTTGAACACTGGAGAAAATCCATGCAAGCTGAGATTGATGCTCTTGAAGCGAATTAAACTTGGGAATTAACTACCTTACCTCCTGGCAAAAAATCTGTTGGTTGTCGATGGGTATATAAGGTGAAATTCAAATCTGATGGCACAGTAGAACGTTATAAGGCTAGGCTCATAGCTAAAGGCTACAATCAGGTCGAAGGATTAGACTTTTCAGATACTTTCTTACCAGTAGCTAAGCTAGTAATTGTAAGAACATTACTGGCCATTTCTGCAGCTCGAAATTGGCATGTGCATCAACTTGATGTTGACAATACTTTTTTAAATGGGGAATTGGATGAGGAGGTCTACATGACTCTACCACTTGGCTATTCTTCGTCTTCTTCTAATTCAGTTTGTAAACTTAAGAAGTCGCTTTATGGCTTAAGACAAGCATCTCGACGGTAGAATATCAAATTCACTCAATGTCTTCTACAATATGGTTTTAATCAATCTCAACATGATCATACGTTATTCATAATGCAAAAATCTGATACATTTATGATGTTGCTAGTTTATGTCGACAACATAATGGTTGCAAGTTCTGATATGCTTGGAATTGATGCTCTCAAATCTCATTTGAATTCCACTTTTAGAATTAAAGATCTTGATACTATCATGTATTTTCTAGGATTGGAGATTGCTAGATCTTCTGCTGGAATTACCATTTCGCAGCGTAAATATGCACTTGATATACTACAAGATTCGGGTTTAACTAGTGCTCGCCCCTTCAAAGTTTTCGAGCAAAACTTGAAACTATCTCGTGAAGAGGGCCAACTATTAACCAATCCTACAGAGAGTAGAAGGCTGATTGGCAGGTTGATATACCTAACTATCACGAGACCTTATCTGACATTTGTTGTTCAGACACTTAGCCAATTTATGCAAGCACCAAGACAACCTCACTTAGATGCAGTACACAGAGTTCTGAGGTATATTAAGCATGCTCCAGCACAAGGGATCTTTATGTTCAGCACATTTGATTTGCAATTAAAGGCATTCTGTGATGCAGACTGAGGAGGATGTGTGGATAGTAGAAGGTCTGTGACGGGGTATTCTATTTTTCTTGGTGAAGCTTTGATTTCGTGGAGGTCTAAAAGCAAACGACTGTGTCAAAGTCATCAGCTAAAGCCGAGTATAGAGCAATGGCCACGACCTGCTGTGAAGTGGTTTGGCTATTAGGAATACTCAAAGATCTTGGGGTAGACCATTTGAAGCCTGCATTGATGTGTTGTGACAATAAGGCAGCCTTGCACATAGCCTCGAATCCAGTTTTCCATGAGAGGACGAAGCACACAGACATAGATTGCCATGTAATAAGAGAGAAATTACAGAAAAATCTGATTAAGACAGTTTATGTTACTTCCAAACATCAACTGGCCGACATTTTTACGAAAGCGTTAGGGCAGATCGGTTTCATTTCTTACTTAACAAGATGGGAATCATAGATTTACATAAATCCATCTTGAAGGGGGATGTTACAGCTCAACAATCAGCCGAAGCTGGAGCTGGAAACGAAGCTGAAGTTGCTGGTAGTTAAAATCAGCTAGAGATGCTGAGCTGGAAAAAAATTGTTAAAAGAGTTAGTTAATCAGTTGGCCAGTCAGTTAGTTAGTTAACATTATAGATGGCAAACTGATGTTTATAAATAAGAGTTTATGTACAAACGAATGTATTGAGTTGATTAAAAACTTCAATCAAAGAAAAAAAGAGTCCAATTCTCTCTATTCTGTTTTACTTTCCTCGTCATTTCTTTACATTGTTGTGTTTCTTTTGTTACCTTTTGTTCAGTAATTCGAGCAAAATGATTGAACTTACTCGATATATCATGAACTCGAGGTTGCTATAAGCTTGAAGCACAATTTGGACAAAGACCTATTTTTTGGGCAGACCCATAGTTGGTGCCCTAGCTGTCTACAACTTTAACAAATTCTCGTGTTCTTTCGTACACTACAAAAAATATATATTGCATCAAATAAACCATAAGTTTGCTATAAGCCACCTAAGATCACGTGAAAAAGCTCAAAACAACAAAGCTAGATATAGAAGCGAACACAAACTAAAGTATAATCTAGGCAAAATCGAGCATGGGCAGAAGTTGTGCAGTGCATTCAATGAGGTTGCTATTTGCATAAAGTGATAATCTACCATTTCAGAAACTTCCATATTTGATGTCTAAAAGGAACACAACTGATTAACTCTTGCAAAAGTCTAATAACAATGTAAAACTTTTCATATATCTAGACAAAAGCATCAAATTTAAAGACTTCAAACAGAGGCAACGACAGCAATAATAGGTAATCAATCCACAACTCAATGCACCAAAATAAAAATCATACACTTATTTTTCTTTTTTGGGAATTATAATCTAAAAACCAGCAATAATCCAGTTGTTGCCTTCAAAAATCAAGAAAATCTAAACCTATATTTCATTTTTTAAACGGAATAAGATCTATCAATCTTTACTCATTTACCCATTTTGTCCTAGTTAACTACACAATCACCTAACCATAGCATGCGCAGTAAATAGATTCGATTTCGGGTTATCGTACACAGCAATTTTGAATTTTCAAATTTCAAAATTTGCAATTGTTCCAACGTTTATGAGAAAATAAGGTTCGTCATTGAGGATTTCAGTGTGAAAATGAGTGAGGAAATCTGAGCTGGCAATTCGTTTTTGCCTTGGACTAATTTAACTGTCAAATGTGAAATTCGTCATCCACGTATGCAATTGTTAAAGACAGAAGTTTGCGAGTGAGTAATGGAGTTCAACTTTGTAAACTTCAGTGAGTAATAGGGTGTAAGTTGAATTATAGCGTGTAACACATAACGTTACCTAAAGTTCGGTGTGTGTTAAAACAATCAACTCTTGATTTTGAGTCTGAGCTTGCTTGGTAATGAAGTGGTGAAGACTTGTGCTAAGGTAGGAACGACGTAATTTGGCTAATCTGAAAGAAAATTATAAATATTAACGAGATAGGGAGATATGATCATGCTTTGTTTTGTAGCTATTGGGACCAAAAAAATCTATTATATTATATAGCATCGTCTTAAATTGTGTATATATTATAATTATGTACCCTGTGATTGAATTTGTGATGCCAATCTTTTTAGCTTGCTTAATAACAAGTGAGTTATTCTTAATTAATGTAAGGGTTGTCTGATCGAGCTTTTGATAAAACTTTTAGCAATTTTTGATAGAATAGATAAAATTTGTGATTAAAAAGTTGATAAAAATTGTGAATCTCATAAATGTATAATTAAAATTATTTGTCAACTTTGATCTTAATCTTTTAGCAACTTTTTTAAGTCATTCCAAACCAGCACTAAATGCGCATGTTTACACAAGTCTAATATGAACTAGAAGTAGACAAAATGACTAAATCAAACCAGATCAAATCAGAACCAAATCAAATCGAGTGGTTCAATTCGGTTCAGCAAAAAAAATTAATGGTTATGGTTCGATTTTAGTTATAACGTGGAGATTGGAGACCCTAATTCATTTTGGAAACACATACATTAACTCATTTCCCATTTTCTTTCGTTTTTTAATTTACACATCGACTCTTACATGGAGACCAATAACTACGTCTGTCGTCTACCGTCGTGCTTAGCTACCACCGTCACGTGGATTTCTGAAATTGAACCCTCAACCTTCGATTCTTCTTCCTCAAATGTTCTCTTTCTCTCTCTCTAATGAAATTAGAACCAAACCAAAATCGAATGATTCGATTCGATTCCGATTTGGTTCCATATCTTTAAAAAACGATTTGGTTCCATTATTTAAAAAATTATTAGTTCATGATTTAGTCCGATTCTCTTGGAATCAGAACCAAATGGAACCATATCCACCCATAATATGAACGATGAGTTTTTAACTGTATCACTCTCTTTAGATCATTTTATTTCAGTCACAACAATGCTTTGCATCGAACGGAGTGGTCCAAGTTCATCCTTATTTTCTTAAAACTAATTTTCAACCACACATTTTATATAACTCACAAGTTTTATTAATTTTTATCAAAATCTACTAATAACCGATTTTTTGAAAACCAAACATGAGACAAGATTAAAGAACGGTGACCTAATTGACAAACTATTAAAGTAGATTGACCCTATTGACATAAATTGAAGTAGAATGACCTAATTAAATATTATGTCAAAGTACAGTGACCAATAATGAAATTAACCATATTAGGATCTCTGTTTTTTTCCAAATTCGAAGACTCTCGTTAATAAACGTAGTACCAAAGTGGAAAATCAAAGTTCAGATCAAACGAAATCCGAATCCGATAAAACTGCAGGATTCGATCCATTCGATCCGAACGGAGACTCCAGTTTTCAAGATCTAAAGCAGATACATACACGTACTACTGCTATAATCCCACATTGAATTTTGTGAAAGAAACGATGGCGACGGTTGCTAACGTGCGCGCGGGGCTCCTGTTAATTTTGCTGTTTCTGTTGCAGAGAAGCGAGGCCATATGGTTGAATTTGCCGGCGAGTGGGACCAAGTGTGTGTCGGAGGAAATCCAGAATAACGTTGTCGTTTTGGCCGATTACGTTGTCATTTCCGATGACCATGTACACCCCACCCCCACTATTTCCTCTAAGGTTAGTACTTTTTTGAAAAAAAATATATATATAGACACTAATTTTTTCTTATTATAAATGCAAATGCGTTTTATTTGATTTGTATGTATAAAATGTATGACCACCGATTTTTTAATAATATTAAAGTAATCTGATTTAATCTATTCAGCGCCCTATAGAAATGCTCACTTTTTAGACTAAGACGGAATTTTGAGATTCGTTTTGAAAAGGTTGTTTCTTGGAAAAAAATATATGGGTTAGATTGCCGAGCTAGAGACGAATGTTAATCCCTACAGTTTAATTATGATGATTGTAAAGGAGCTTGATTTGTAAAGGAACGCTTTAATAAAAATAAATAAAGAGAGTGAAGAAATTGAACTTGACTTCCCACTTGAATCTTGGTCTGTGTGTATTTGTAAGATATGCTTTTATTAGACCAAGTGAAAGGATTCATGTGCTTAACTATTTTTCTTTATGGATTATTTCTATATTAATTGTAGGCATTTGACTTGGTATGATACGCAATTGCATCAAATACTAATGCTAAGAATAATGTGGCTGACTAATTTCAGTAAAGATGACGCCTGATTGCTTGATGAAGTGATATTTTTGCTTGTCTCCCATCTTTTGGGGGTTGATTCTCTTCCATATGCACTTCTTGTGAAGTGCACTGAGAGGGAAAAGGGAAAAGAGTAAAAAGTATCCTGCCTTAAATATAATTTTCTTGTTTCCGGAAAATCTGGAATTTTGTTTCATTATCACTGCTTTATGGCCTGTGGATTTTTACTGCCCGTTTAAGGTAATGGCAAATTGTATCCTTTTGAGGTTTGATATGTTAAGTCCTGGTAAGCTAGAAAAAGCCTTTGATGTAGCATTCATACATGTTCTCATGGGACATTAATTGATTAAGTTTATTGTGGCTGCATCTAGCACTTCCTAGGCGCTTGGGAAGCAGAATGATTGCTTTTTAAATTTAAATTGATCAGAAAGGCATTTTTCTAAATTTTCGTGATGAGCATTTTTTTTTTGGATGCAACATAGCTGGATGAGTTTGTAAAGTCATTCCAGTCTTTGGATTGTTGTTATATTTTAGAATCAGTCCCTCTCCCTCTTCCTCTCTCTGTATGCTACTAATCTTTCTTCTTTCTATGTATGGAGTTTGAGGGATTTGGTATTAATTTTTTTCACTGTTGATAGAAATCTAATTTGCCCCCTCATAGAACATGTAACTTTTAACGATGGAGTTGTGATGCATGTTCAGCATGACCTCTTCCTTTCACTGCAGGTTCGACTAAAATGGTTGTTTCTGTTACTCTTGTAGGTTACTTCGCCATATGGCAATAACCTTCATCACCTCGAAAATACCACACACGGTCAATTTGCATTCACGACTAGTGAGGCTGGCAACTATCTGGCATGTTTCTGGGTTGACAGTCATAATCCAGGAGGTGGGGGTACAAGTGTTAACATTGACTGGAAAACTGGAATTGCAGCAAAGGATTGGGAATCAGTTGCAAGGAAGGAGAAAATCGAGGTAAGCCCTTTAAGTTCGCTTACATGATATTATGTTTTCAGGCGGAAATTCATTTTTGTCTTCTTTAAGAGAACAAAATGTTGGATTAATGCAGTAGGTGAAATTTGAAGGTTATGATGTCTTTGCTGGTGCCCTAGAAATTATTTACTTATTTCATGCCTCTAGTAGGGTGTTGAACTTGAGCTGAGAAAGCTTGAAGGAGCAGTGGAGGCCATTCATGAAAATCTTTTGTATCTTAAGAGCAGGTATAATAATTTCTTCCTCTCTTAATGTGGTGTTATTAAATTGTGTTGCTTATTCTTATTCCTCCAAGATTCTAATATTACTCAAGTATTCATATCATTCTCTTTTCCTTGGTTCAACCAAATATAGTTGGTTTCCTAGTCAAAATATGAGCTCACTGGGTGCTTTTTGTGTATTTCTTCTCACAGAGAAGCCGAGATGCGAATCGTGAGTGAAGCAACAAATGCTCGGGTGGCATGGTTGAGTATTATGTCCTTGGGGATCTGCATTCTTGTTTCAATTGCTCAGATTTCATACTTGAAGCAGTACTTTCAAAAGAAGAAGCTAATTTAGATTTTGTTTAATCTAAATTATATTCTGTGCTACGGGTTGAAATTTTCAATCTTTTGTTCCCTTTTCTATCATCCTCGATGAAATTTTGATGCGAAAGTAGTAATTGTGACGTCCATCTATTGTTTGAGATGATGAGAAAATTGTTATTTGTTTCTTTAGATTAAGATTATCGAAGAGACAATACTATAGTTTCTGGTTTTTATCTTGTCCTTTTCACTCTCTCATAAATGTGTAGTGATGAGCGCATTAATAGGTCCGTTTTGTTAGCTGGATTATAACTAGTGAATATTAAGAATACGCAATGTAATGTTTTCTCTATTGTTGTTAGTAGAGATCGATAGTCTAATCCAAAATTGTATTCTTCTTAGGTGTTGATAAATTTCCATAGCACTTGGTGAACACTTGAATTTGGATAATAATCTGAATGCATTATACATGATATTTTTCTTGTATATCTATGTCAAATATCACGATCATTTCACGCAAGTTAAATCCATCGCGACATTTAGTTTTCTAACTTATTTTGTTCCTATCAGGGATGTGTTGGAATTTGGAACCTTCTATAGATTTGGTGGTGAGCCGTCACATCTTTTGAATTTAGGGGTAAACTACTCCCAAATTTGCATCCTAAATATGCATGACATGTCCGATGAATTTTGGGGGAATAAGGCTCCAATGTAGTTTGAGGTTTTTGACCTTCATCTATATTCTATATACCAACCTAGCATTTTGGTGTCCTGTATGTTTCAAAGTGCCTTGTTTCAGTTGACTTTGAGATTTGCCTCTCGTCCTCGGCCTTCATGTGATTAAAAGTATGGATTTCTAGCTCAGTAACGCTCTAGGCAGATACAGCTTGATCGCTCATCTTGCATGGGTCCATCTCCAACATAGGCTTTACAGGACTATAACTTATTCTCTGGTAAAAAAATAGCCCATATTGTACAGTAATTTTATTACAGACCCTTACATGCAAACCCATAGAACATCAAGTACTGTAAGCAAAGAGCGAATAATAGGATAATTAACAGAAATGCATATTCAAAACCAGGAAATTAGTTCATTATGAATTTGCCAATTGATAGTTGATGTGGGAAATCATATGTAGAACATCAGAACATAATCCACTTTGAAAATCCATGGATTGATGATCTCCCATTAAGAATGGAGTAAGAAAAATCAGAATGACTACACTCTCAACACATTATTCAATCAAAACAATCTTACGATTCATGTATCTAAATCTGCAAATTTCTTCAAAGAAATCATCTGCACTGCTATGGCTGCTCTTCATCTGAAGAATCTTTATTGTCATCTTCTTTAAATTCCTGGCGTAGTTTACTAAAGACTCCAAAGTATTCATCTTCTGTTCAGCATTCAATGGTGATCTCACAGTAATCATAACCTTCTCAAGGCACGGAATTGAAAATCTCGAGTCAACCTGCAAAAAGAGCAAAATTTCATGGGTAAATTCTAAGTCGAAGGGTCAAAAAACTCAACATAGCTATTGTTGGAACAACTTTCTTTTGTTCCGTTCCAGGATTCAGACAAGGTTCACAAATCCTGGTGTTCTGGTTTCGTCTAAATAGTGACCGAGCACAAACAGATAGAATAACTGTTTAATAAAAGATTAGGGAGTAAAAAAACTAGTGGTCACTGAACTTTTAGCAAATTCTCATGTTGGCAATTGAACTTAATTTTGTTAAGTTGGTCGTTGAACTTAACCATTTCTTGACTTTCGGTCATTTCATCCTTAAATTTGACAACCTAATTGGCAAATAACTAATGGATATAGATAAAGTGACCAATCTAAAACAGAGTTTAAGTGATGAATCTAACATTTTTGCTATTAGTTTAACAAGTGGTGCATTTTATCCCAGAAGATAACAAATATATGCAATGAACTCACATTTTTTAAGCTGTTCTTTTGGCAAAGAGCAGCAAACATGGCACCATGAATGTCAAATGTTTGCAACTTGGGGTGGCTGTTAAAGAAGTCGACAAAATCAATCTCTGGGAAGGGCATGAGTTCCTCAAAATCCCCAGTGAATTCCACTTTCATGTATAGTTGCTTCACTTCACTAGCCATCTGAAGCATTTTGCTTAAGGCATCCCAGCACCACTGTACTCCTCTCATGGCCAAGGACTCGAGTGCCACAAGTTTTCCAAAATCCACCATATAAACACGCCCTGTCATTTGACAGTCAAAGGATTGTCAAGAACAAAGAACTCAATTCCAAGTATGACGATACAAGACACTACAAGGGAAGTAAAGGAGAGAGTGTAAAAGCAGTTATAGAACACCTGAATTGTTGGCAATTGAGAGATTTTTCAAGCATTGAGTTTCGTGGACTCTGATCAAACTACAACCTTGTACCTCAAGGGATTCAAGCTTTGGTGAATTGAGAAATAGCGAGCAGTTACCATTTCCATAAAAATCAAGCTTACAATGCTCCAGACTAGGAAGCTCAATAGAAACAGACTTTAAACCCTCACAGCCAAGAAGCAACAGATGAGTCAAATTAGGACAGGCACAAAGCGCATCAGACAGCGCTGTGTCCTTCAATCTAGCACCAACTATTTCAAGATTTCTTAGCCTGAGGAAAACATCCCATTGGGGCGAATCAATCATTAGCACACCCCAAAGCTTGAGGGACTCCAAATTCCATGCAGATCCAATGCGATCCAACTTCGAAGGGATTTCAGTACAATTCTGGTGTGGGATTATATTATCCATTCGAAGCTCGAGGTTCTTCAAGGAGGGCCCTGTTATAGACAGCCATGACCCAAGCCCAGCACTGGAAAATGGACAATAAACAACTAGTTCATCTAATTCAGCAATTGAAGAAATCATTTGCCTCACGATGGCATCAGGAGTATCTCCATTGGTAAGATTGTCAAGAAGATTTCGAGGGAAAAATAGGCTCCTTAGATAAGGTACTGAGTCCTTCCACCTCTTGGAGACACAGATGCAAGAGGCCACATCTTTTGCATTATTCATGTGGGACAAAATGTATTGCACTAATGCATCTGGCAGTGACTCCATTATCTGAGTAAAACAGTCGAGCAGTTAACATCCATTCCCAAAATATGTACATAAGGTTGAGAAAAATAATCAAACACGAGTATTATTATCCATGAAGTAGGATTTCAATCCGTAAAGTAAAATATAATCTAGGGCATTTTCAAGAAAAAATCAATATTAAGCAGATTCAGAAAAATCGAAAATTTGGGCAATTGGGAACATGCTATATAGCGAACAAACATCACCAAATGGAGTGTATTAAAGGGGTTCTCTAAATTAATTCCTTATAATCCAAAACAAATTCTTAACCTAAAATTTAATTACATTCTTGAAATTTTAAAGGTTATGTTTCACATTTACGACGGATACAATGCTACTCAGAGAGAAATAGAGAATCGAATCTGACTTTTTTACAGATGCCCAAAAATAATTATTCTTGCATAGTAAAAAGGGGAGGAAAAATCGAGCTTACTTCCTCGCAAGATTTCAATGGAGACGTGGCCCACAAGATAAGCTCGGAACAAGATTCAATTAGGAGCTTCACGGTTTATCCTTGACAATGTATCTCTGTGTGTATGTTGGTGAGAGGGATAAAGTGGAAGAGTGTATGTATATATCCGTAGTGAGAGAAAGGAAATAGTAGGCGCGGAGAGGATGACTGAGCGGAGCTTTTCAAAATTTGGAAGAGAGAGTGTGTTGAGGGGGAGGAGATTTTTCCCTTTTTAATTCTGTTTTGCTGCATGTGAAATTTAAACCCCGCCCAGTTTTGAACTTTTTTGAATTTTCGACCGTTTGGGAAATCTCCAAATTTCAAACTTTTTGATTATTACTTTGAATAACAGAAAAATACTTCTGCCGTGTTCGGCAGATATTAAAATTGAAAAATTAGTCGTTATTGTTGACTTTTATTAGACGAGTGGAACTCAATAACGGTCATATTTTCAATTAAAATTGAATTTTAAATATCTTTGTACTTTTATAATAGACATCATTTATAAATTACAGTTTGTAATTGAAAACCTGTTTATTTTATTAAAAAATTAGATTTTTAATAAATTTTAATAAGAGTTATGAAATATACGGTTGAAGAATTGATAAAAATTGTGAATCTCATAAAATATGTAATTGAAAATTAAATTATAGAAAATGAGAGTGTGTTTGGTAGAGATTAAAATTGAAAAACTAGTCGTTATTGTTGACTTTTATTAGACGGGTCAGACCCAATAACAGTTATATTTTCAATATTAATTGGATTTTAAACTCTCCCAAACAAGCTCTGAGTGTCGGATGTTGAATTTGTAGTTATCCTATCAAATGAAATTTAACCTTCCAAAATATCACAAAATTGTGTAATTTATAACCTTAGTGCTATTTACAATTTTAGAGCGAAAAAAGTTACCAGAAGAAAATCATCACTAACTGAATCTCCCTTCTTGTATGCTTGGACTCACAATTGTTCATTTTAACTCAACACTAATTTATTAAGAGCAATTCTTAAAAATTGTCAAGCTGTCGTGTTAACAATAAAGGTGCACTGAGAATTGCTACTCCGCTCGTTTGATGGATAGCCGCTTCAAGCCTATCTATGGAGGATTGAAGACTAGCTTGTTTGGAATTATCGTTAGAGATCTGTCAATTTCTTCATTTTTTCCTACCCCGTCCAGCCCCGCCCTTGTTTCATTATTCTTTCTCTCAATATATTTGCGGAGGAGGTCTTAAGAGAAGAATTACTAATGTTGAAAAAACTTCACTGTTGAGAGGGAAACAACTTGTGTTCTTACAGCTAAGGCCATAAGTGATTATTGTACGATAAAAGAGGTCGAACTCGTGAATTTTCAAATCTATTAAGAAGGACCACTGCTATTGTAGCAAGTTTTGACGTTAATCTATAGAAATTAAATTTGGGCCCAATGTACCATATTGAGAGAGGGACTGTGTTACCTGCATTTAGTGGTTTGTGACCGCAGTGTCCTCGAAA